GAGTTGACTGGGTATTGAAGTTCCTGCGCAAGCGCAGGCCAGTCGGCTTTTTTCTTGGGGATGGGCTTGAACAGCTGCATCCACTCATCATTCTGCATCAGCGCTTGTACGCGGTCGAAAACGCGCTTGGCGGCTGGTGTATCACCGTTGATAGGTGGGCGAGGTGCCTTCAGCAGTGCTGAATGCTTTGCACTCGCCACCGAAGGCTTAGAACCCTCGGTCCCCTCGTCATAATCATCATAGGCCGGTTCCGGTCCCGCAACATCATCGAGCTCGTCGGCGAGGTTCCTCGAAAGGGACCTGGTCGTCCCGCTCAGCCCCGATGATAGCGTGGCCGTTTCCGGCGTCGCTGCGCCCGGCTCTGGAGCCGGCGTCTTGTCTTCGTAATCTTCATAATCGTGGGCGTCAGGACCGATGTCTGCTTCGTCGTCGAAGCTCACTGAAAGCTCGGTGCCGGCTGCAAAGCGCGCAGCCGGGCTTGAACTCTCGTTGCGAGCCCCGCCAGACTTGGCAGGCGTAACTGGTACCGTCGGTTGTCCTTTCGCCATGTTTCTTGTCTTTTTCTTGTTCTTCTTCTCTTGGTAGCTCGTAAACTGGAAGGCCATACAAACAGCTCACAATGGTCACAATCTGCTCCCGGGTCGCGGCACCAGTTGTGGTGCTGGAAATCCCACGTGAACTCTAGCTACAGATGTAGTTAGGATGTTCCCACAACAATACGTCTACTAGGATAGTAAACGATCGTTCGGGCGGACCTGAAGACCCCAGTTCTGCCCTTGCACCGGGACAAACTGGACCTTGTAAACTACTTATATAGGCCAACCAGTAAAATAAGAACACGCTACTAGCACGAGCAAAGCTAGCAGGTGTTTTGAATCCTCGTGGTCCCAACAGCGGAAGGGTACCAGGCACGGGTAAGCCTTTTACGAGATCACCGAGTGTTCAACACTCGGCTGGAAGAAATAAAAAGGGAGGCAATTCAAGCACTCCCAGTCGTGCAAATAGGCAACAATAAGCCGTCACGTAGAACCTCCCGATAATAATCGGCCAATACACAAAGTCTCTTGG